CTGACACCTTCAACGACACTACCATCAAAATTGCAGTCGCCGCCGCTCCCAGACCCGAGGGCGATGGAGATGGGTAGTGTCGGAGTGATGGTGGTGACCGGGGTGGAATCGAGTCCAGTCTGATTATTACTAAAGAAAACCGGTCTGGGATGGGGAATAGCGAAGGGCGGTGCTTGGTAGTGGGTCTGTTTGGAATACGTGGATGCCGAGAAACCAGGAGGAAACAGGATCTCGTCATGATGAAGGTTGTGAGAGTCTTTGAAAAAGGGGTTGAAAGGAAAAAGAGGGCGTTATTGAGTTCAAATAAGTGGTTAAAAGCAACAGTATACCTACTTGCACTATAAAGTCTTCCGAAACTGGACAAAAATATACATATAAATAAATTTTGCCTGAGATTATAAAACAATTCATAAAGATTGGTCAAGCAAGAAGAGGTCTGACCTTTTTTAGGCAAAGTGATTGTGTTGTAAGGCCGAGCTAGCTGGAAGGACACTTTTCGAAGTGCTTTGCTATAGTAAACATGCCATTTACCTGCGTCGGACTACGGACTTGGTTCATTCCCATACGTTTCACTGGCATCGTCAATGAGTCTCCATTTCTACCAGCAGGCTACAACTCGTCAAATAGACAAGTGAATATAACCTCTTAGCCAACTTTCCGCCGAACAGAGGTCACAATATCTTGGTCTTCATATATACGATTTCCCAGAGAGGACTTTCTACTATACATTTCATTAGAACTCATTCAAAACCCTTTAAGTAGACGTTAATAGGTGAATTATGGCTTCAAATAGCTTGATGAATCAAAGATGAAAGATAAAGAAATTTAGGAAGCAATTCAGCCTATTGATTAGAATTATGTAAATCTGGATAAAATTATTTTCATCGTGTTAGAAGATTAGACTTAGCATAATTTAAGTTTGTTGATCTGGATTCAATCATAGCATTACGGGCTAGCCGAACGAAAGCTGGAAGAGATTCATATAGGTGGGGATTTAAGGATTGCTGTTCGAAATTCCACAAAATTTAACAAGATCAAATATTATGCAGCTAGCTTTGCCTAACTAACTTGTAAGGGAGTAGTGATGAAAAAATGCATCGTGTGCTCAGAAGATTACGCATGCTAACATGCTTTCAATGACCCTTGATGAAGAATATATTTGAGGAAGATATCAAATTCGTATGCAAGATCTACTGACAATTACGAGACAATTACGAAATAATCAAAGTGTAGTAAGGCAGTCGGAAAATACAAGTTCGCCTTATCGGAATCAATTCCACCATATTAGAAGTCGCTTGAATAGAAGGGGAAGTTTAAGTTAGGATAGCTTCCCAAAGATTAGGAGACAGTTTTGCTAAGCATTTTCGCTTCCATCTGAATCAATCATGCCAGGATATCATCCATCCTACAGCTAGTCTCTGATATATTCGCATAATTATGATGCTAAAACCATGGGGCCAAATGGCAAATATTCATTAATATTATATATATGTATATAATTTTAAACTAATGTGGATAAAAAAACCTCTTTATATCGGACCCTATTCGCTCTATACTAAGTACAATATTGCTTTAAAGGAATGCGTGCGCATAAGTGATGATGCAACCACGTAGGTATGTAGAAAAACTGGGTTACGAAGAATCCTTGAATAGATTGATGTTGGTGTACCTTTTATTTTGTTTGAAGAGGGAAGTGGAAGCGATTCATAAGTTGTGCTCAACGGAAGCTGTAGGGGGATTGCTTTAGAACTATGATTGCAGATTTGTGCAAATAGGTCCTTGGCGCACCACCCTGCGACCCCGATTAATCTTTTCTAAGCTTTCATCCGTCATGTGACGGACATTTTCAGAGCAAAACACTATGCTTAACGATAATTTACCAAAAATGCGAAAGCAAGAAAGGCGTTTTTGATTAATTATCAATAAGCATGATGTCCTACTTTTGACGAAAGCTCAGCAAGGATTCATCGAGATCGCATGGCAATGCGCCTAGGACCTATTCGTACAAATGTACAATAGCAGCTCCAAAGCAATCCCTCTACGAATCCCTTCCACTCGCCTCTTCAGAAGAAATCAAAGGTACTCAAACATTAAAAAAACAAGTTTTATTTGAAGACTAAGATGGTGTGACCTTAGGTTTAGTCGCAGTCTCCTTTAGCTTCATAGTGTTCGTTTTACCACGTTTTTGGTAACAGTCCTGCGTCCTCTGCCACATTATTCAGAATTAGTTTAATTATCCTTAGTAATTCATTATTTTGATCGATTTGTTTATGC